AAGTTTTTCCTGTTTTGGTTCTGTTCTGCTGGGCTTCTTCTTTGGTTGTTCTGTGGTTCTTTCTGTCGGTTCTGTCCCTCAGGTTAGCTCTGTAGTATTCTTTCAGTCAATCAATTATCTAAACTACAAACATGTCTTAAGGACATAAAATCCTGATGGAGCCAGCTTAATTTTCTGATGTTAAGCTCAGAAAAAACCGAAAGTTCTGTATACTGCCCCCAAAAACCACAGAGACTCACTTTTTCTAAAGATATTAGTTACTGCTAGATGATTACCTTGGACCTCTAGTGCACTGTCAGGAATCTTGGAGGGGTATCTTTGGATCAGATTTGTCATTTAATTCCCACATAAAGCAGATCTCTAGGACTGCCTTTCTTTCATTTAACGTAACATTATCTAATAATTAGACCACATCCTGTCACAGGACAGATGCAGAAAAACTAATCCATGCATTATGTTTACTTCAAAGCGCTGGATTCTGCAAACTCTTTTGTTATCAGGGTTGCCGCTAATAATCCATTAAGACGCTCCAATTAATTCAAAAATCGCTGCAGCACGAGTACGACAGGAACTAGGAAAAGAGATCACATCTCTCCATTCTAGCTTCTTGCATTGGCTCCTGTTATAATTTAGAATAGCAATTTAAAATCATCCTCCTCACTATAAAGCTCTTCAATGGTCAGACCCTCTTCTTATTCTGAAGAGCTCATAGTACCCTATTACCCCTCTAGAACACTACGTTCTCTGGAATGCTGGCTACTTGTGGTTCCTATAGTCTCTAAAAGTAGAACAGGAGCAGAGCCCTCAGTTACCAAGCTTCCTCTCCTGTGGCAACCCAGCTCCAGTTCTGGTTCTGGGCAGCCAGACACCCTCTCCACATTAAGAGTAGGCTTAAGACATTTCTCTTTGATAAAGCTTATAATTTAAGCTGGATCAGGTGAGTACCTGAACCATCTCTTAGTTATGCTGCTATAGCTAGACTATCGGGGATTTCCCCATGCACTGGAGCTCCTCTTCTTCCTCCTCTCTCTTTCTGCACTCATCATTCCCATTAATGCAGTGTTACTAACTTCACTTCTTCCCCGGAGTTCTTGTGCTTTATCTCCTGCAGGTTCTCACTGGATTCCCTGGTGGAGCCTCCTGCCATGGTCCTGCTTGACACCATTGCCTAAAATCACTGATTATTATTGTTTGTTGTTATCATTGTTATTATTAATTATTATTATTGCTGCCGGTTTACTGCTTCGCTGCTCTCTCTCTATCCTCTCCTGTCTACAGGCAGTTTTTCCTGCCCTGTCTCCAAGGTCTCATGCTCATGGTTGGTACTGTTGCGGTCTCTTAAATGTTGATAAGGAGTTCGGTCTAGACCGCTCTTTTGAAAAGTGTCTCTGAGATAACTTCTGTTATGACATGGTGCTTATACAAATAAATTGAATCGAATTGATATGCACACATTTCTTACTGTTTTATATTATTTACACTTTTTTAACGTAGAAAGTTTATGTAGGGACATTACATTAGGCTTATTTTCATATTTTTAACTTTCAGGAATTTCAACGATTTTCCCCCATTTATCGTTATTCAATATCAATATCAACGAACTACTCAATTCAACTTTCAGCTAGAATCCTCCATTACAAACGTAATCGATAAGCGAAGTTTACCATTTAATAATATTATATATAATAATAATTTAATATAGCTTCACCTTTCCCACATTCATAACATAATTTGATCAAGTTTGATTTTCTAATTAATTAAAACATGTTACAATTAGACAATATAAACAATACAATTGAGGAGATTTTGGAACTTTGAATTGTTTTGATGAGATTTATGATATGTTTAGTTGATAACTATTTTAGATATGATTTTAGGACACGTCCTACCCTAACTCTCTGCCAGTCCTTCCCCCCTCCTCGTTCGTCCAATCAGCCGGCTCTTCATCCGTCGGAGGAAATCATCAATAAAGTTTTATTGTTGTAACAGAAGAGAAGAGCCAACGTAGTACTGCTGCTTATCAATATTGATTGATGGAAGGTGCTCTAACCTGTGTGCGTTGCTGTGCGACGCGATCACAGCCCTTGTGTTTGCTGTTGGTGAAGCTTTCGCGAGGCCGCTGCTCCTGAACGTCCTCAGACAGACCCGACAGCCCTAAACAGACCCTCACCTCCTCCCTCCTCCTCCTGGTCCTCCTTCTCCTCTTCCTCCTCCTCTTCCTCCGCAGTGCTCCTCCAATGAGCTCCCAGCTCCTCCCAGCTGTCCGCCGTCCAACCGCAGCTGACACAGCTGAGAGCGCCAGCCGTCCTGGTGAGACCGCACTGGTGACGTCCAGCATCGCCTGACGGCAGCGCCAGAGGACACAGGAGACACATCAGCCTCCTTTTGCCACCCAGGGGAGGTCCTCACCTCGCTCCTTCAGGCGCGGCCTCAGGAGGGAGGAGGAGCAGGAGCAGGAGCAGAGCAGAGCAGGAGGGGGAGGAGGTTTTGGCGGCTGACGATGCGACACGTCCCGAGTCATGAGGTGAGCAGACTTGCGCCATCTCCTCCTGGGTGAGGCGGTTCGATGGACAGATCCACTGAAACCGCCCTTCAGAGGGGAAGGATGGAGCGACTCACTCCTCGAACAGAGTCTGACCGCACACACCCACACGAGGCACGACTGAGTATCCCAGCATGCATTACAGCCGCGTATCAGGGCTGTGTGTGCTTAAACAGGAAGGAAGTCTAGTAAACCCGCCCACTGCCTTGATATTGGACGTCTGGGTCCAAACTGTGACAGTGAGTGAACAAACTGATGAGTGTGCATCACAGGTGGACAGTTTCCGCCTCTACAGAAAACATCTAAAGACTGCTAGCCGCTGTCCTCTACAGCCTGCAGACACACGCTCTGTGGTGCATTGTGGGGTTTTAGTAATCTGTTTATAACTATATATAAACTAATAATATATTATATCAATCTAATAATACTAAACTCAGATACATATAATAATATATAATATAATAATAATATATTATATCAACTTATAACAAAATATAAACGAATAATAACTCTATTAATATATAATTATCTATAATATAAGTGCAGTGATTGATTGAATGGGTAGTCTGGTGATATTCAGGTTATTAGTTCAAAACAGCTGCCTGCTGATCTCAGTCAGATCCAGTCCAGACAGTTTTCTGTGTTACTTACAGACGCTACGTGAGGAGGAGCTGCTCACTGTGACCAGACTCCATTAGAGTTTAAAAATCCTATGGTCTAATGGAAGTTTCCCAAGTCACCTCCAAAGGAGAGTGGCTTGATCACAAGTGCGGTCTCTGTGTGGTGTGTACACTTGTATACAGCTGCTTCACAGACAGGTCGATACAGCTGCGAAACACAGCATGCTGTGTGATGTGGTGTGTGCTTGTGTGTTGACAGTTTGTGTCTGTGTGTGTCACCGTCACAGGTGTTGTGCGACTGCAGCCCCCCCTCGCTGCTGATGTCACAGGTGGCGGTCATGTTGTCCAGCATGTTGTAGAGCCAGCGAAGTCGCTCGTCCTCTTCGCTCTGCTTGACTTTTTTTTCTGCGTTCAGTCCAGCTGAGCTACCGCCTCCTCTCTTCTCAGACCGTCCTTAGGCCCAGGTGGGGGGCGGGTTGCGGAGTAGCAGGCGTGGTGCTGTAATGAGGCCTTCAGGCCGCAGGTTTAACTGACAGAGCTTACAGGTACAGCTCCACAAAGGACTCACCAGACCCCCTGACAGACCCTCCACCTCCCGCCAGTACAGACTGTAACTGACGCCTCCGCCCACCACTGCCAGCGTCACGGACGCATGTCACGCTTTACCGGACTGCTTCACCGACGACATCACCGCACATTCACCACCACAACCACACAGGACGCTTCACTGCAATCTGCTTCATTCATCTGCAGTAATCAATAAATAATTGAATATTTAAAACATTATTAAATTACTGAAATGTGTACGATAAACTAAATATAGCAACAATTTCTTCCATCGCAAACTTTAACTTTAATCTATTCAGGGAAACAATCTCAACAGAAGAATCAAGCACTAACTCAGTGAATTCCATGGTATTTCCAGGTACTCCATATTTCAGGTATTTCCAGCGTTACTCCATGGTATTCCAGGTAATTTCCAGGTACTTCCAGTATTCCAGCGTACTCTCCAGGTACTTCCAGCGTATTTCCAGGTATTTCCAGTCTTCCAGGTATTCCACGGTATTTCCAGGTTACGGAAGTACCTGGAAATACCTGGAATTCACTGAGTTAGTGCTGATTCTCTGTTGGAGATTGTTTCCCTGAATAATTAAATTAAAGTTTGCAGATGAAGAAATTGTTGCTATATTTAGTTTATCGTCACATATTCAGTATATTTTAATAATGTTGATAAATATTGTCATTATTTATTGATTACTGCAGATAATGAACAGCTTGCAGTGAGCGTCCTGTGTGGTGTGGTGGTGATGTGGCGGTGATGTCGTCGGTGAAGCAGCGGTACCGTGACATCAGTCCCGTGACGCTGCAGGTGGTGGGCGGGGCCGTCAGTTCCAGTCTGTACTGCGGGGAGGTGGAGGGTCTGTCAGGGGGTCTGGTGGAGTCCTTCTTGGTGGAGCTGTACCGCTGTAAGCTCTGTCAGTTCACCTGCGGCCTGAAGGCCTCCATCAGCAGCCACCTGCTACTCCGCCACCGCCCCCCCACCCTGGCCTACCACGGGTCTGAGGACAGAGAGGAGGCGGGGCTTCAGCTGGACCTGAACGCAGAGTCCAAGCAGAGCGACGAGGACGAGGACTTCCTGCTCTACAACATGCTGGACAACATGAGCCCGCCCACCTGTGACATCAGCAGCGAGGGGGGGCTGCAGGTCGCACACACCTGTGAGGTGACACACACACACACACACACTGTCACACACACACACACACACACACACACACTATGACTGTGTTTCCAGCTGGTATGAACCTGTCTGTGAACAGCTGTATACAGTGTAAACCACCACAGAGACCCACTGTGATCACACCACTTCCTGAGGTGACTTGGGAAACTTCCATTAGACCATAGGATTTTTAAACTCTAATGGAGTCTGGTCACAGTGAGCAGCTCCTCCTCACTGACGTCCTGTAAGAACACAGAAACTGTCTGACTGGATCTGACCTGAGATCAGCAGCAGCTGTTTGTGAACTAATAACCTCAATATCACCAGACTCCATTCAACAATCACTCACTTTATATTATAGATATTATATATTAATAGAGTTATTATTCGTTTATATTTTGTTATAAGTTGATATAATATATTATTAGTTTATATTATATATTATTATATGTATTAGTTTAGATTATTATTAGTTGATATAATATATTATTAGTTTATATTATAGTTATAAAAGAGTTATAAAACCCCACAATGCACCACAGAGCGTGTGTCCTGCAGGCTGATAGAGGACAGCAGGTACAGTCCTTTAGTGTTTCTGTAGAGCGGGAAACTGTCCACTGTGATCACACTCATCAGTTGTTCACTCACTGTCACATTTGGACCAGACAGCCAATGAAATCAAGCAGTGGGCGGGTTTACTAGCACTTCCTTCCTGTTTATACACACACACCTGATACAGCGGTGTAATGCATGCTGGGATACTCAGTCGTCCTCGTGTGGTGTGTGCAGGTCAGCACTCTGTTCGAGGAGGAGTCCTCCATCTTCCCTCTGAAGGGCGGTTCAGTGGATCTGTCCATCGAACCCCCCTCCACCCAGGAGGAGATGGCGCAGTCTGCTCACCTCATGACTCTGGGACTGTGTCGCATCTCAGCCGCCAAACCTCCTCCCCCTCCTGCTCCTGCTCCTGCTCCTGCTCCTGCTCCTCCTCCTCCTGAGCCCGGCAGCCTGAAGAGGAGCGAGGTGAGGACCTCCCCCTGTGGAAAACGGAGGCTGATGTGTCTCCTGTGTCCTCTGGCGCTGCCGTCCAGGCGGATGCTGGACGTCCACGTGCGGTCTCACCGGACGGCTGGCGGCTTCAGCTGTGTCTGCTGCGGTTGGACGGCGGACAGCTGGGAGGAGCTGGAGCCTCATTGGAGGAGCCACTGCAGGAGGAAGAGGAGGAGGAAGAGGAGGGAGGACCAGGAGGAGGAGGAGGAGGTGAGGCTGTTTAGCTGTCCGGTCTGTCTGAGGACGTTCAGGAGCGCCGCCTCGCGAAACCTTCACCAACAGAAACACAAGGGCTGTGATCAGCGTCGCCACAGCAACCACACAGGTTAGAGCACCTTCAATCAATCAATAATTGATAACAGCAGTATAGTCTGCTCTTCTCTTCTGTTACACAAATAAAACTTTATTGAATGTTTCCTCCAGACGGATGGAAGAGCCGGCTGATTGGACGAACAGGAGGGAAGGACTGCACAGATAGGTAGGACAGTGTCCTAAAATCAATATCTAAATATTATCAACTAAACATATCAATAAATCTCATCAAACAATTCAAAATTCCAAAATCTCCTCAATTGTATTGTTTATATTGTCTAATTGTAACAATGTTTTATTAATTAGAAAAATAAATCTGATCAAATTAATGTATGAATGTGTGGAAAGAGGTTGAAGCTATATTAATATTATTATTATTATATAATATTATTAATGGTAACTTCCATTATAATATAGTTTGAATGGAGGTTCTAGCTGAAAGTATGAATGAGTA